CAGTTAGATGGGGTTCAGTCAGAACAGAAAGGTCTCAGAAAATGAAGGTGGGAATTCGCTGGGTTGGGCGGGAGAGTTAACGATGGCTATAGCCGACGTCGACGATCAACCATGTACGTCAAACATCGAAAAACATCAACAACAACAAAGGGCCGTAATTTTCATGTTGATGCGATAATTGCTTTGCATTCCTTATTGATTGAAGGGTTCCCAAAGAATCTGTTGGGTGGCAATTGCGTTCCAAGCAGGAAGGTTCCGGACTTGTTTCTCAAAATAGTGCTATGCACTCATGAAGCGGTTGAGCAGCATCCGCGTTCAGCAGTGCGCCACGCACTCAACTTCCGCTCACAATCACAACGGCATTCAAAAGGATGCATGTTGACCCATAGTTGAATGACAGAAGACATGAGAATACATTTGCATAAATTTGGTCTCAGCCTGGTGACCGAAAACGAAGGTATTCAGTACAAGAAACTAGTTCACACAATATTGTGGTAGTCAGGATCAAGCAGGGGTTCCAGCCTGGACACTTAGCCCGATTTCTGTAAGGCTAACATGACATCATTGCTGCATCACAGCAAAGCGTGTAGCTCATATCTTCGCATCATGTTCTTGCTCAAGTCATTCTTTCGAGTGTCATAGATATTCTGTGATGCACCTATTACGTTTTATTCCAACACAAAGTTACTGTAACAATCGGGCTCCCGTCCAGAATATTCTTTTCTGTAAGTGATTCCAAAGAGGAGGATGGAGGTGTGGGTAATTGGCCTGGATGTGACATTGCAAGAACATTCGCCCACGCTTTGAAAGCTCTTGTGGAGAATTCACGAGATTGAAAGTTCAGAGCAAGAAATAACAATTTCTGGGAGGCGATAGCTCAAAACTAAGGATTTTTATGCTATTCGATATGACTTCAGATATTAGAATAGGACTAAAATGAAGCTAGTTTTTAACGACCTTCTCTGACAAATTTTTGCGTCAATTTCAAAAGACATCATTTTGTCCAATGTCCAATGCATCCCTCTAAGCACTCCCCCTCAGGGCACGGTCCCAATAAAAATTTCTTGATTATACCCAAATGAAGCCATGGTTTTTGAAAGGAGGCATCGATAAACAGTCCTCATAGGTAGAGCGCAATAAGCACTCAAAAACCAGCACAGAAGCTCATCACCTCACAAAACTCCCTCCCATCGAAGGACGTGCTATTGCATTCATTCATTGCGATGTAATTCACAATGGAGCGCGTTTGTTGTAAGTGCAGTCGATTGGCATGCGCTTATAGCTAACAAACTTTGCTCTACAGTGACTCCCTATCGTCGTCATAGCCTCGTCCTACCTCAGAAAGGATCGGTCTGAAATGCCTTCTGCATGATTTCTACTGACTTCCTCGTTACCAAATGATTTCTACTGACTTCCTCGTTATTGTGCTTCATCGCCTCCGCCCTGTAATTAGTACACGGTCCATAGAATCCATCCCGAACTGTGCACATGAAGTCTCAAGGCTCACTTTGCACCAAGTGGGCGCAAAAGCCGTCCAAAAATGGCATTCAAGATCTGCTCGATGTTTTCCTCGTCAAACAGTCAGTGGATTGTCACCGATTTAGATCTCATTAGTGATGTTGAGGTGAGTGACGCAAGCGAACTGATTGAAAGATGTCACCACTTGCTAACATCTTCGATTTCAATAGATATGGTGCCAAAGCTTGATGCCATGACAATGGTGCTCATTAGTCAACTTCTGGTTCCCATTCACAAACAGTCTGCAGAAGACTTTCTCTTGCTCAGATGCTATTTACCATTTGATTCTTTTCTGAATTTGCTTGATTTTTTTGAAGCGGCGTTTGACGTCATTGAAGGCATCCTACGTCTTACTTCAACAGATAAAGGATTAACTATGAAGTCTTTGACGTCGGACAATCCCGTTTTGGGATGCGCCCACATTCGGCTACCATTCCTAATCGTTTTGAAATCGTATGTAGCCTATACATTGATGTTCGATGACCAGCCGATGTACAACTCTATTTCTACCCTACTAGACGAATCTGGTTCCACTCAACCCCAGAGGTGGAAAGCTTAGTTCTGCTGAGCGAAGGTCGCTCCGGGATTCTATTACTTCTTTATATTCTTGAGCGTATTAGAAGTTCCTCAAAATTGAATGGTTGTCAGTCGCTAAAACTAGCTCTGAATGAAAATCACTCTAATTGTGTGTTTTGAATAACGCAGTCCCTTTTCTACCCTATAACTTCTCGAGCAATGAACCCCTAACACTGAGAATATTCCCTCACTATATGATCTCTAATTTGTTGAACGAAGGGTCGGACCACACATTTTCATTTGATGATCACTCAAACATTTAATTACTCATCACTGAGTCTGAAATGACATCCATAGTTGTTTTTCTAATGCTCATATTATGATGAAGACCAATTAATCGAGAATCTAATTCTAGAATTTGATGTAAGTAATAGGTTGATGCATAATTATCTCGGCTTTGAATACTGAATTCGGGATTTAATAGAAATAACCAATTTCCTCAAAGAAATATGTCTAGAAAGCCATCTTCCTATACGCCACATTGTGCCCTGTTACTTCGAGAAAGGATAGAAGGTGAGGCAGTCAAAGTGATCTCAACGAATTTCTCGGCGATAGAACAGTCAGCCAAAGCCGAATAGAGAATGGGATCTGCTTCTGCGGTCACCCTATTCACCAATAGATACTCCTATGGATTATCACGTCAATTGCCCTTTGAAAAATTGGTTAACGAACAGAACTCTCTGAGCTCTTAAACTTTCCCTCACCCCCCGCACCTTTCCAACTTGACCATTCACAAGGAGAAGCAATCCGGGCCTTCCTATGCATGACCACTACTATCCACAACCTGACTAGAGAAACCTTAGCCAATCTGCTGACTAGGATACTTTCAAAATCGAGAATTGGTCATCAATCGATAACCACATCGTACAGACTCCACCCATAGCGCCGATCACGCCCCTCAAACAATTGACCCGAACTTCTAAGACTAGCTCACAAACTTTCCCATCGGGATAAAGCACTAAAACCTCGATTGTGAAGCTACCAGCAGCGGATGGATGAACACCCATCTCCATTGACTTCATACATCAACCGTATAAATGGGAGCACTCAAGTATCCTTCCATTCCCCCTGATATTATAATGCTTCAGTGATTCTAAAACGCTTTCGTTTGTCCTATCCCTTATACTTTTCGATTTTATGCTGCTGTTCGGCTTCTCTGCAATGTGCCAAGGAAATGGGAAGTCCCTTGCGTGCTTTGTCGTCTTTTCCACGAGAATTGCAATTTCCCTGCGACAACAATCGTGTCGTTTTTTGATGACTGACCGGCGTAACCAAGCCTACAATCTTAGATCTACATCTTGAATTCAATAAATTGTAATTCTCGCTGCTCAGCGATTTCTTACATTTTCTTAGCGGGCTTACTTCTTCTATGTCGTGCCTCTCTATTGAAGTTGATACACAGCAACTGTGAAATACGCTACCGTATCTATCTACAATCGTTTTGTATCGTCATTTTCCTTACTTGAAAACAACCACGTTATTCCTCCAAATACTAGTCCATTCTTCCATGAATAGTTCTTAATTTCCTTCAACATGTTTCTTATGACGTTCGATATATTTCAAGCATGCTTACGAAATTAATCCAAATGAAGTCTCACACATTTTTAGAACCTTCAACTTGACTCTCAATTTTGATTTAATTTGATTTGGTTTTATTTACTTTTAATGCCACCCTTTCTAAAAAGCGAGTGGTCAGTCCCACATCTCGTTGTGAAAGTGGAATAATGATAGTGTCTTTGGCATTGATCAGTTCCGTTTTGAGATGCGCCCCGCGTCCGACCTCTAATCAGAATCGTAGTGGCAGTTTGAATGCGTATTAGGCCTATACAATGATTTGCGATGGACAGCCGAGGTACCAGTCAGTGTGATTATCCTACCACACGAGTCTGGTACCAACTAATCGACCCGATGGGACGGAATGCTTGGTTGGCCTAGGCGTATATCGAACCGGGATTCGAACCAGTAGCCGTGGGTGTGTGATAGTGTGCGAGTTGCCACTACACCACCTTCTAATGACTGATAACTTGATAGTTATTTTGTGTTAATTGCCTAAAGGGCACAAAGAATAACAGAAAAGTCTGAACACCTTCTCACAGCTCGTACAGCTCTGACGAAGTCAGATTTCTGTCGCAATGAATCCATGTTTCCATACTTTGAATACCTTTTTACAAAACTTGAGGTTAATATGAGGGTAGGACTCTGTAGATCGGTTAGGCCATTACCAAAGTAATACTTCAGAAGTGGTTTCGTTCGTACCAATTTCAAGGTTCTTGTTTGTTTCTACGGCTAAGTTGATTATACCAGTCAAATATATAACAAACAAAACTGCAGGGGGCCTCAGAATTTCTTTTTGTTCGTTCTCCATAAGTGTTCTTTACCAAATAATTACTTTCATGTTCCTTTCATGCCATTTCAATAACCATCACGCAATTGTGCTTTTGGTTGCTACGTCGTTTTTGTTGAGCAGTGCCGCTATCGTTACGAATGCCACCTTTCACTGCCACTAAGATTTGTCCTTAACTTTCGTTACGAATGTCTATTGTAAGATTAATGAGCAAGTTTTCTGCAGCACGGCACACAAGCACGGTAATGAACCTCTTTTCAAATTTCCCGCGCAAATGTGTTGCTCGCCGCTCGCGAAAAATTCGCGCCGTTAGTTGACGAATACCGTGGCACCGAATTACGCGGCCTCGCTACAGCTTCAGCTATTCCTGCGGAATCTTCACCATATTCCATTGCAAAATGAGTCGATCTTTCGAAACGATTGATGCAGGAAGAGTAGTAAGATGTTTTCGACCCTGCCCGTGTCGCCATTCCCTTTTCCTTCGTAAAATTCGTGAGCAGTGCTAGAACAAAGTCTCTGAGTGGAAAGCTCCTGTTCCAGAATTGTGAGGTGGTCACCGGCGATGGGATGTGCTCCATCCGGTCAACAGGACAATGCTAGAAGCCTCGATGAACGCTTCGCCGCTCCACCACCGTTGCATGTGAAGATCGGTACCGGTGTCATACGCGGTGACGACCTACAACATCATATCATATTCATTTTCGGTGAGTGAGTCTTTACTATCGACTCAATACGAAGATTCGGTCCAAAAATTTGAATGGTAGTGGAAGACTTCAAGATGTTCTCACTTTATTGTCCTCTCCTCTGAATGCATCAGAGCACCTGACCAGCGCTTTTTTAAACGCTTCTTCTAAGTCGGTCATCGATTTCCGGATAAATTGATCCAAGACAATCGATCGATAAGCCATATACTTCTCACTGTGTTACTGACTATCTACATTTTATTTCGGTTAGAATGCACTGAGGCTTCATCTTTGTAGTTCTTTCATAGGGCGACAGTCAAGTTGGTCCGGTTCGGAAAAATTGATCATGTAGACCAATCGATACTGCAGCGGTCGCTTTCCGCCCCAGTCCTGCACCCAATCGATACCATTTCATCTCCATACCGCGACTTTGGCTTACTCCTCTGTGTGCCGAGATTTCCACCTTGGCCAACAAGTTCAGCTGCATTTTAGGGCTTTACTGAATACTGAGCCACCTTGTCCTCGCCCAGCTGAGAGGGGCTGCCTCTCTTGAGCATACTTCATGCTTGGCATTCATTATCGCACTGTGATTTTGATTTAAAAAAA